CTATGGGTTTTGGTATAGTCTCCGATTTCAAACGCTCAAGCTCACTAATATTCGAAACCAATTCGTTCTTTAGATCTACCAATTCAGACTTGAGAGCCACGATCTCAGATTCTTTTTTCGATGAGTCGTTTTGAATAGAAATCACATCTTTCTGGGCTGAAGATAACTTACTTTCCAATATCTTAACCATAGACTCAAGCGATCTAATTTTCTTGGATTCATTCTGAGTTGAAGATAGTTTCGTTTCTAATATTTTTATCTTAGACTGGAGATCTTTTATCTTGATTTTAGATTCATTAAGGGAAATATCTTTGCGGGTAATTTGATATATTAAACTATTTATTTCTGAGTTCAATCGCTTAACCTCCTCTATAAGCTGGTAGGCCTGCTTGGTAAGTATCTCTTTATCTTTACTGGTTTTATTTAGATCACGTTGCAATTGTGCTTTATCCTGTTTAATATTTTTACTAAACTCTGAATATACTTTCCGATAGTTTTTTAAATCCTTAATAAGTTCAGAATTAGTCTTACAACTATCACGTAAAGCTTCTTCAAGTTCTACCTCCCTAGTACTTCCAAGTCAATACCCTTTTGGGTTAATATCTCGTAATGTGCGTATATTAGCCATGTATTTTTTCTCATATATGTATAACAAAAATATATTAAATATTTATATCAATAGGTATCAATAGGCATCAATCTTAGGTAACAATAGGTATCAATAGGTATTAATATATATGAATACATATAATACTCATCAATAGGTATCAATACGTTTTGAAAAATTATTGAAACTTTTTTTTTTCTAATACATATATATCTATCTTAAGATGCTTACCCATATTCATCAAAAATTTTATCGATCCAATGCGACTCATTTATCTGAATCTGTTATTATAGAAATTAGAGAATCAAGGGGGAAGATACCAAATGCATCAAAAAGAATGGCAGAAAAATTTCATATTGGTGCTCGTCGTGTTTATGAAATATGGGAGCACAATGAACGTTTACAACAAGATCTTAATTCTCCATCACCTTCTGATTCTGATAACTCTTCTATTTTAAATGATTTTAAAAACAAGAAATCTTCAGCTATTGAGTCATCAATTAAAAAAATAAAATCCAAACCTGTTCGTATTTTGAATCAACCTTCTATTAATAAAAATTTAACCGGAAAGTTAAGCGCAATATCATTAGAAGTAAAAAAAGAAACTATACTACCTGAAACTTCGCAAGAAACTGAAGATCCTTTGGAATTCTATAAGAGAACACAAAAAGAGATTAAAAAAGTTAGAGCGGATGCACGTGCTGATATTTCTAAAGTATCAACTTCTAATCTAAAAGTATAGAATTGATTTCTTCTTTATACTTATTACGTAAATCATTATAATATCCGATAAATTCTGAATTGGTTTGAACACTAGTAAATAGTGCCTTTTCAAGTTCCTTTACATGAATGGTCATACTTTCACAATCTACGCATTTTTTTTTTAAAGTTGAATCTGTATCTTCAGAAATAGATGGAATTGCATTAACATGATGTACCTCAATCTTATTTTCAACCTTGTGCATCGTAACTGGGATGTAAAAATCTTTTCCATTGCAATGAAGTTTCATTTCGGATTTAGGCCAATTCATTATACATTCATGTTTTTCAAGGAAGGGATTACTCAATATAACCATAGACTTGTCATATTCAATGACTGCAAAATCTAAATGAAATACACAACCAGGAGCTAGGGTTAATGGTACGTTATAAACCATTCCAATAGATTTGGTTAGGACAGTGGCCGCCCCCTTGAAATAAAACACTGCACTTTTATCGATTTTTAAACCCAAGCGTTCAGCAATGTCCTTAGACATAAGTAAAGTATTAGCGCCGGGATCGACTGTAATGGCAGAAAGCACTAAACGATTGATTTTACCCCTCACAGTTGGAACATCTATTGCATCTTTATCCTTGACAAAGTTAATTTCCATATCTTTGATAATTTCTTCATCCTCGGTATCTTTGCTTTGTTGGGAAGTATGATTTGCGGTACTAGATTTCTGAAAATTTCGTAAGATTTTACTTATAGCCTCCTCTAATAAAGTGGAATTTACAAGCTCGCTTTGAATTATCTCACGAATTCGTCTCTCTAGTAAAGTCGAAGTGGAATTTTGCGATCCTTGAAGAGGGATTCGATTCTCCTTACCCTCTGAAAAATATGCATCTTTCTTGTCTTTGGATCAGGATTGTTTATCGGATGTTTTCTTAATGAGTACTCTAGGTTGATCTATTTTTTTTTAATTCTGGATACATTAACATTGGATTCCTCATCAGGTACATCATCATCAATTTCATCATTGCCTTCTTGATCAGAAATAGCAGATTCATCAGGAAATTCTTCTGTATCAGAGTGGCTTTGTTGGAATCCATCAGCAAAATTCACACGACCGGTTCTTTTTCTAGAATTATCAACCATCATATTCTTAATTATGGGACAACTGCGGTAAGTATGGCCTAGCTTTTTACAAATTTCGCATTTTCGTGAGGGTGGTCTAGTATTTACTCTAGGAGTTCTGACCATATTTATTGTCAGATTCGGGGAGCTGGGCAATCCTTCAAGTTGATCTAATTTATTAGCAATATTGACTATTGCATAATCAATTTCCATTGGTTCGAAAACTCTATGATCCTCAGTCTCAAGACCCAATTCCACGTAATTTTTTAACTCTTCATAGTATTTTGCTTTCTCAGTTTTTGGACGGAAATTTTGATATTCATATATTGGAGGATTTGTAATTCGTTGATGTGGTTGAGATTTCGGTTGCTGAACAATTTGCTGGGGAGGTTGGAGCACGGGTTGCTGAACAATTTGCTGGGGAGGTTGGAATGCGGGTTGTTGAACAATTTGCTGAGGCGGTTGGAATGCGGGTTGTTGTACGATTTGTTGGGGTATCTGAGACATCATCCCATTCATATTATTCGCACTTCCATAATTAAACGAAGAAGGCCTACGTTTAAGCCACAAATTTTTGAGATGAGTAAAGAATGCATTAATTTCCGTGGGATTTGCACGTTCCATCCTGGTGAAAAGTTCATTTGGTAAATGATCCATAATAAATGACAAGGCATTAGCATCATTATTAGCAACTCCTAATAATAAGGGACGTATCCTAGTCTCATATGTATCTGGTGTATCATTAGGTAAAAATTTTTCGTAAGCTAGCCTCTGGAGAGCAACTTGTTGTGTCCCAACTGTTTCTATCTGATATTTATGACATACCCATTCGTATAAGCGAGCTGGAGTATCAATATTATTTCCAGCATGTTGATTGGGTACATCTGCATATTTTTTACCCAGTTTGCTCTTCAAGATCGCAACTTTATGAGCATCATCAATTTGTGTTACTGCGGGATATGATAATATGGCATTAATTCCATTATACCATTCGCCAGGTTGAACCTGTCCATTATAAAATTCAACATTTGCAAGTAAAGGTGCAATACCAGTCAAGTCACCTATAGGTGTCGCCATATTTGGTGGATTATTCTTGATAACCTTTTTTTGATATATATAAATCGTTTTTTTTTAACCAAAAATAACCAAAAAATGCTATCTTATTTGATTACTAAATCGTTTTCTGTCTCAGAGGAGCATAGCGACTCCAATGCGAAGCGTAGCGGAGCATTAGTTATCTGTTTAGTTTGCAATTAGCTTTCTATCACTGTGAACATGAACCTTTAGGTGAATGTGAAACAGTCTGCGAAGCGTAGCAGAGCATAGTTATCATATTTGTTTACTAAAGCGTTTTCTGTTCCGGAGGAGCATAGCGACTCCGGGTGCGGAGCATAGCGGAGCATTAGTTATCTGTTTAGTTCGCAATAGATGCTAGCAAATTTAACAAAAAAAATTTCAACAGAGCCTTGATATATATTTCTATACATTAGCTTGAGCACCGCTCTAAAGCTTTTTCACGAAGCCTTTGATAATAAGATGCAACATAATATCCTCTTTTATGAATTTTACATCGACCACAAGCAGAAGCAGTTGGTTTTCCACAATCAGTACAGGGTACACATTTTTTACACTTATAATGAAGACGACATCCCTCAGGACGTGTAGATAAAGCACCACAAATCTTACCCGAATTATGTAAATAGTAACAAATATATTCACCGATCATATTTGATTAGGATAAATAATTAATTAAAGTAAAGATTTTATAAAGTAATATATAATACTTTTTATACACAATGGTTAAAAATACTACTTGTGATAGATGTGGTTTAAAACTATCCACTTATCAGAAATATCAACAACATTTAAATCGGAAAAATCCCTGTCGACCAAAGAATCCCCCTCAAGCTCAAACAGAAAATGCTACACCAGGGCAAAATGCACCTCAAGTAGGAAATGCTATACCGGAGCAAAATCAAGTCCCAGTACCGATCCCAGAAGGCGATCTCATATCATTTAATGAAAACCCACCTACGCACCAGCCGAGAGAGGCAAGCGCGCCGGCAGTCGACCCTGGGATAGGATCTAGTACAAAGCGAAACAAAACTATCCTGATCTATAAAAATATACCAAATGGAATCGAGTTTTATGATAAAAAAAGAAAATGGTATGGAGTTAAAGAAGATTTTCGTACATTATCTAACAAATATTATTTTATTA